AAAAAAAAAAAAGTTACCTATGCACTTATTGTTCATTTACTTCTTGTTTTTTTTTTCTTTTTTAAATTTATTATTAAATAATGATAACAGTTGTTCTGTGATTAAAAGTAATCATAATTTGGTCAAAAAAGAAAAAAGAAACTTATAGTTAAACAACAAAAAAAAAAAGTGCATAAATTTTGGTCTTTTTCCTTTTTAGAATTTAAGTGGAATTGCTTAAGTGCTTTTAAAGTGCAGTCTTTTTGAAAAGATGTTTAATTGTTGTTATCAGAATTTAGCAGAAAAACAATAGACGTTTGAATAACCGGAAACTGATTTATCTAATCTGATACACATGGCAAATGTATATTCTTTGTTTTAAGAACAAATAATCTGTTTTGAGAAGTGATGTACTGTACTGTATAGCAGAACAAAAATATTGACTTTGCAAATGAACAAATCTAAAAAAAAAGAATGTTACTTACTGCAAATTCAGTTGTTATATTTATACAGATTGCTAAGCTAAATTTATTATCCTATTTTTTATTTTTCTTCAAAAAAAATTTTCTAAAATTCTGTATCAGGTTTCTTTTTTCTTCAAAATTTATTTGTTTCTAAGTTTTAACCGGTCAAAAAAAAAAAACACCGTACTGAGACACAACAGTGAACATTTTTGTAGATTTTGCCTTCTTCTTTTCCTAATCAACCAGTGTTTTAAGATTGCTGTTGCATCGGTTTGCTCAGCTCTTCTTGACGTTTATTAGAGCACTAATTAAACATAGCAATTAAAATAACAGAAAAGAACAAAAAATTTTGTAGGAGTATAATCTAGGAAAACCTTGTGGATACTAATAGACAGAATAATATGTAACAACAACAGTTGACAACAGTTGCAAAAGTAGAGGTTGAGAAAAAATGATTGGAAAACTTTATAAATTGTAAACGTCAAAAAAAAAGTACATTATCGATCAGTTATTGAATTTTAAAGTTAATTTTGAAAAAAGTTTAAGAACGAAAAACATTTGGAATTTAGTTGTCAACCTAACAGAATGATTTGTCTATTTTGCAATGGCTTGAAATTTTTAATCAAGCTTTAAGAAGTGGTTTTTAAAATTAAAACTAAATTATAGCAAAATAAAATGTTTGCATTCAGCATAACTGTTTTTCAAGCCACTTTCTTAACAGATTTGTCCCCGTACAATAGGGGAAAAACTTCTTTTTTTTGAGTTTAAGCTTTTTTTGAGGAAACGGTCTAACAGCAAAGTTCTTTCTGTTTTGAATTGTTTTGCAAAAATTTTTTTTCAGTCATATTACTTTTTAGCGATATAAGCAGATGGTTTTTGAATAAAATATTGCTTTGAATACATTAAAAGTTTAATTTTGTTGTGCTGAAAAAAATCTCAAAAACCTTCAAAAGAAATTTATATCAAAGCTTTAGTTTTTTTCAGTTTTGTGTCAAATACACACATTTGTCATTAATTACTGTTTATCTTGTCCCCGCAAAAATTTAGCATTTTTCAACTTTCAAACTTTCAAACTTTCAAACTTTTCCAAGTTTGTAGCTTTAAAAGGACGTGAAAAACAAAATAATAATTTTATGCCTTAATTAACTTTGACGTATTCAAATGCTTCAAAATTGAGTATTGTCGGTGATTATCTTACTGAAAAGTTTCGTATATAAGCTTTATGACTGATTATCACAGACAGGTGATTAATTTCAGTGCTTCAGATGTTTATCATAATATACAAAAACCAATACGTACAGTTCAGTTTTCCATCTTGTCTCCACTTACTTCAGTTAATTCAAATAGCATATATCTGTTGGCCTGGTTGATAAGACTAATTTCAGACAGT